GAAGACTTTTGCAAATGTGAATATGTGAATAATTATATCATATCGAAATAGCATAATTATTAAATATAAAACAACCTCTTGGCGAACTAATTTCAAATTGTTCGACTATATTTATCGAGGAGCCATAATTTCCAACAATTTTTAGCAGAAAAAACTAGGGTAAAATCGCCTAAAGGATCACACAAGACAATTTGTGTTTTTATCTAAAAGGTCTTATATCAAAATTGCACGATTAATAAATATAAAAAAAACTTCATGGTAAGTTAATTTGAAAGAGATACGTAGACAAGGAATTCCTTAAGGGCCAAAATTTCCAATTTCTGGTGAGAAAAAATCAGGGTAAAAACGCTTAAAACTGTCAGGGGCATGCAATAATTTCAAATTGGCAATATCACGAGAACGTCCTTTCTAAATATCAGAATTGTGTCATAACGAAATTACATGATTATTAAATATATAAACCTCTTGGTAATCTAATTTGAAGATATATGGTGACCAAAATGTCCAATTTCTGGTAGAAAAACCAGAGTAAAAATGCATAAAATTGTCAGAATCAGACAGGACGACTTTTCTAAAAATTAGAACTGTTATATATCGAAATTATAATACTATTAAGTATAGAAATCTTTTTACACACTAATTTCAGTGAAATTCATGAGAATATTTACTGAAAGCCTTAAAATTTCTAATTCTAAATTTTCTAATCTCTGGATAAAAAATCTAAACCTCTCAAACCAATATTACTTTTCTAAAGTTCCGAACTGCTTCATATCATAATAACATGATTATTAACAGCTATAACCTCTTGGCAAGCTAATTTCAAAGCAATTCTTTAAAAGGATTTCGTATGGGATGAAAATGTTAAATGTTTTCTGGAAAATCTCTAAATATGCAAAAACCAAAGAACAAAATTATTGTAATAAATTGCCTTTATTACTTAAGAAATATTAACAGTACTATTTTTTTAAATAGTTATATTTATAATATATATATATATATATATTACATTGTATTAAATTTTACTGTTAATTATTCATTGTTAATTGACGTTTTTCACTCCGAGCTTTTTCATTCTGAAATACAATTTTAACACTATCCGGTTTTCATCAAGGAAATTCCATCATAGACTAATTGGATGATACTCTAATTTCCGTCATGTTGTAAATAGCAAAAAGTAGTTATGAAATTCACGCTTTATTAATTTAAGAATAAAAAAAAGTATATATGGAGGACAAACTTGTAACATAGAAGCCAGTTTAGGGAGGTGTCATGTAATACAATGTCTAATATGTACTTTTTTTAACGAGGGTTCGCAACAGCAGAGGTCATATAAACCCTCAGGGTGCCGAAAAAATCCATTTGTAAGTATGTCGGGTTCGAAGGGAGGGCCGCTGGATTCGAACCCGGGACCTTTCTTTATCTACACTGATGAGCGCTGTGTCAACTATCAACGCCTAAACCGTTGCGCCCACCGACGCCCCCTAATATGTACTTCCTTTCACATTAATCTTTGGAGAAAAAACAATTGGAAATTTTTTTTCCTGCGAATGATAGTTTAATACAAAAAATGTACTTTGTTATTATTTTGTCTTTTGAATTAATGACATCCTAGGAGCTTTTCATATTCCATCTAGATCTTCATTCATGATCATTGTGTAAGAAAAGCACCCAAGATGATTTATCCAACACTATTCCTCTTTTATATGCCGATGAAATCCCAAACAGTTTTCTTCGAGACTAATTAATTAGGGAAAAAGGACGATTAACATAATCAACTTAATTCAATGACATCAATAATACATTATGATTAATTAAATAAAAATTACAAAAAAAAAGGTAATCGTATTGGACTTTATATAAAAATATAATAAGAGCAAGGATTTTTTTGAAACAATAAGAAAAGTGAGATGTTGCTTTGAATAAACAGTAAAAGATAAAGAGGGTAGTTTCTGTAAATTTAATCTGATCCAACATGTTTATTAAATACTTTTAAACATTTTTACAATGATTAAAACATGTTTAGCCGGTAATTGGTTCATCAGGATGAAAACTTTAAACAATCCATCAATCAATTGTAATTGTGTAAATCAATTACTGCGAATAAAAATGTACCCGATAAAAAAGTAAACACTTTAAGGCTTTTTATTTCATAGATTTTCAAAGCGTTTAAATCGCCATGTGGGAGGAAATTACGAAATTTCCAGAAATCCTGCCGAAGGGAAGGGATTACAAGAAAATTCCGCCGTTTATAAAATGAAAGCCACAAAAATAAAATGTATTTTTTGAGCCAGTATTAAGCTTTGTTGCTTTTATAACTTAACTACATTTGATTTAAAAGCGACAAGGGCGTTGATTAAATAATAAAAATAATAAACCGTTTACAACTTGTTTTACATCATTTAACAAGCTGAGGTTTAACTAAAAAGCCAGATTTATTTTTTTATCCTTTATTTATCGACATTTGGATTTACGTTAAATACAAATTAAAATCCAGATTTTAAAAATAAGCGATAAAAGCTGCAGTATCCGTAATTTAAATATACAATGTCCTTGTTTTTGAGAGTTCAGCTGGCATCTTTTATAAATATTTTTCAATCGCCAGACGTACGACGACTTTTTTTTTGAAATTGTCAAAGAAATTCATTGAGGAGGCCAGCATTTCTAACAATTTATGGAGGGAAAGCCAGGGAAATACGCCCAAAATACCATAACTCTGCCTTAACGAAATTAAACAAATCTTAAATGTAATAAACCTGTTGGTAATCTAATTACAAATACATTCATTGACAGGATTTACTGAAGGGTTAGGATTTACAATTTTTGGCGGAAAAGCTATGGTAAAAACGCCATAACCTGTACTCGCAGTCGAATTTTTTGTAAATATTAGAACTCTGTATTATCATTATTAATAAATACAAAAAACCTCTTGGCGAGGTAATTTCAAATAGATTGACCGGATTTACTGAGGGGTTAAAATTTACAATTTTTGGCGGTAAAGCTATGATAAAAACGCCAAAAACTGTCAAAAACTCGCAAACAGCATTTTTTTTAAATATTAGAACTCTGTATTATCATTATTAATAAATACAAAAAAAACCTGTTGGTAAGCTAAATTTAAAGAATACGTTGTAAGGGTTTACTGAGGGGTTAAAATAAACAATTTTTTGCTAAATTGTCAATTTCTGGTAGAAAAACAAAAGTAAAGAGTAAAACCAGAAATAGCTGCAATCATACAAAATGACTTTTGTAAATATCTGTACATATGAATAATAGAAATAAAATATAAAAAAACCTCTTGGCAAGGTAATTTCAAATAGTTCGACTGGATTTACTGAGGGGCCAAAATTTCCAACTATTTCTGGTTACCAGAGTAAAAACGTCAAAAACTGTAAGGATGGCGGAGCATTTTTTTACATATCGACCTGTCATGTCGAAATATCATGATTAATAAATATAAAAACCATATTGGCAAGCTAAATTCAAAGAAATTCGCTAACAGGATCTACTGAAGATAAAATTTACAATTTCTGGCGAAAAAGCCAAGGTAAAAAAAATCTAAAACCGGCCAAATTAACGTAGGTCGATTGTTTTAAATATCAGAACTGTTCCACATGAAATAACATGATTGCTAAATATAAAAAAAGCCTTTGGCTAGGAAAATTCAGAGCAATTGTTTGACAGGATTTACTGGGGGGCCAAAATGTACAATTTCTGGCGGAAAAGTAGGGTAAAAAAATCCGAAACCGTCAGTCACGCAGAACTGTGTCATATTGAAAAAAGTGTTGTTATTAAAAACCTCTCGGAAAGCTAATTTTAAAGAGACACGTCAACAGAATTTACCGAGGCGCCAAAATGACCAATTTCTGGTAGAAAAGTCAGGGTTAAAACGCTCAAAACTGTCAAGAACACGAAGTATTTTCTTCTATAATGATTTGCTTTATCTATCTAATGCTTAATAAATTAATGGTAATTTAAACACAAATCACTACTTTATATTGTGAAATGTTGGGGTGAGTTGATCCAGGTGAAACTGTTTGTAGGTCTCACTGTCCTGGTCCGCCTATTTTCGCTTGTTTTGCTGTCAGAAGTTCGATATATTGCCATTTCCATTTGACTCGTCCTACCGAATATTAAAAAAGATTCGAATGAGAAAATAACACACAGGCGAATCGCTGAAGTAGGCCAAATTGTCGAATAATGCCTGATGAGCAAAACCAGCGAGAATAGACGGACAGAGATGAGAAGTTTGTTTTATTACTTGGTAACTTCAGATTGGACAATCTATAAACATTTTGTATCAAATGCAATTTAATCTTGCCAAAAAGAGCGCAGTGGAATGGAAGTCGGAATAAAATCGTCAAAGGTGAGATTTAATTGACGAATAATCCAAATAGTACGATTTGGCATAAAATCTCGTATAAGCCAAAAAGGCAGAAATTTCGACTTTCAGCTTTTATGTTTTCTCCACGATAAAGATCCATTTCTCAAAAGATAAGCGACCAGGGATGAAAATGCGGATTCAGCAGGGTTTCCCTCGATGACAACGTGGTTCTCGTTGGTGACGCGGCAAAATTGTTGCACTCCGCCTGTGACTTGTCCACCCACCGAAATCCTCATATTCACGCTTTCAGAGCTGTCAAACATCATATAAACTTATTTTTTATGACCAAAACCAGGAAGAAAAACTCAATCAGGAATTTATGGAAGTTCTCAGAAGAACGTTTGCCCAATCATATGGAATTATTTATTAACTATTTCATCATATTTGGTAAACTAGGTTTAACTCCAATTCTATTGTAAAACGATTTTTTATAATAATCAATCCCCAAAGACATCATGCAAATAAAAATGCAAAATAAATGGAATTAAATGCAAAATGATTCTAAAATTCAACAAGTTTTCCTCTTGTAAACTTTCTGTATAAAATATCATGACTGTATTTTTTTCCAAATTATGTATCGGTATTTTGCATTTAATATATTTAGTATTTTCCACATTACCTCGAGCCCCGTAAATGCGTCATAAGTTTCCTTTTCAGTCAACTAAAAAAAATATATTCAGCGTTATAGTCAAATTTGAATTTCATACAATGTCACAATTGTTATGCATTTTTTTAATACGACCGTCGTACGACAATTTGTTTTTCTTTCATGACAAAATAATATATGATTGGATGGATATATTTTAAGTAAAGAACACTTATAAAAATGATTCCACCATGAATTTCGTTCCAAATGATAAAAATTGCACGAACAAATATATACAGAAAAGATTTAAGAGGATAATAATCATATAATTTGATCAAAAAAGTTGAGAAATTTATATTTCTTTTTTATCAGCTTTTCTGCTTTTATTCCCTCACTTCTTTTACCCACTCCTAATTTCTTTTTTCTTTAGATCGGTTATGAACGGAAGGCACGATTTTGAAATTAACTCTTGTCTGGAGTTTAACCGGATCTGATACAATCGCGGTCCGCCGATCCGCTATTTTCGGCGGTTTGAACTATTTGCCTTTATCGTAATGTCCTTTTGACAAAAAAAATCGTGTATAGATTTCCCAGTACCGTTGGGTGTCGCGAACGAAGTAACATAATCACTTTATATAACATTTTCCATATTAATCTCGAATAAAATTTCGAGGGCTATGCCGGGATTCGAACCCAGAACCGCTAGCGGTGTCTGACCCTACTACTAAATGGTGTCGGACCCAATCTAACCTTGCCCGTTGCTAAACTTGACCTTAACCCTAGCTTTACTTCTCCTTACCGTTACTTACCTAACACAACCTGTCCATAACACTAATGCTGCGTAACCTTACTATTTCTAAACTAACCCAACCCGTCCTTAACCCTAACCCTGCCTAACTTTACCATTCTCACCTAACTCAATCAATCCACAATCCTAACACTACCTAATCTTATCATTCCGGATCTAACCCAACAGCCATAACCCTAACTAACAACCTAACCATTCATAACCTAATTCAACCAGTCCTTATTTTAACGATTGTATTTCACTGTTTTTTTTTTTATGATGGAGTCCAGCAACTAAACAGGTTTCGTTTGGGTCAGCGAAAAGCTCCACTATTTTGGCGTCAAGAAAGGATGACGGATAATGGACTTCATTTTTATTGACAACTTTCGACTGGTCAGAATGAGATCATTCCTATTTGTACGAATGTCTTTTGAAACATGACTCCCAAAGTTGAACAAGGAGTTCATCGGGAAAGATAATTTTTTTGGGCCAAAGCTGGAGGACGATGGCTGGGAGGATTGGTGTGGTGGAACGGGCGTTGATGAAGATTCGTTCGGTCCGTCTGGGCCAATAGAAATCGAACATCCAGGCGATTTGACGTCTTCAGGGATATTGACCAAAATTTGAAACCTCCTAACTCAAGCTTAAAAATAGGTTGGACGGTTAGCAAATATGATTCTGACGCCGTTTTTGACGACAATTGTGTTAAAATGTCTGAAAGCCTGCGGTTCTTATGATAAGTAAAGATGAATTATACAATCAACGCATCCAAATTTTTCCAAAACCTATTTTTTAATGTGTTTGCTTTGTTTTCTAGAAGGATCCGAATATGAGATCGCTAATGAAGATGAAGGGGATGGATTTGATGTTATTATACGTAAAGTAAATACTTGGTCCGTTTATGCTTCAATAAAGATACAAAAGGCTGAACCATCGATTGTTTTCCAATCTCTCATCATGGATCCAACCGTAAACAGATGGATGTAGTAAAAAAAGTGGAATTTTGTGAATTTTCAGTTAAAAATAATACGTTACAAGAGGGCTTAACATCAATGTATGTCGCTCACGAGGGGTCAGTATCACTTAACAAATTAATCACATAAAATTACAAGGGCTATGCCAGTATTGGAACCCACAGAACCACTATCTTGGAAAATTCGAGGAAGGTGACCAATTTTCAATTATCGTACTATTTTTACAAAAACTAAACGTCTCAAGTCCTAGGATTTTTTAGGTATTTTGAGTTTAGTCAGCCTTTTTGTTTGGTTTGGTTTTTTAATATGTAATGTAAATACTGTCTCGGTCCGTTTTTGCTTGAGTAGATAATAATTGTTGTAACATCGAAATTGTTTACAAGAAATACATCGTGGATCCAAGAGAAACAGATTTCGACCAAAATGTTTTAAGAGAATCGTAACAAGTTGAATGAAGGAAGTCGAAAAAAAAATGGTCGGTGGTATTGGGTTGGGTAGGGTTGGGTCGGAGGGTGTTTAATGGCCTTGAGTGGTTATCTCGGCTGAGGGATGGAGGGTGGAGAATTAATGAGAGAGCGAGAGAGCAAGTCCAGCCTCCCTTCTTTCAATACTTCTTTCGTAATTAATATCAAAGAGAGAGGCGACGTTTTGTCAGTTGAGCCGTTTTCACGCGTTTCCGTTGAAACGGACGGACGTCTCCTCTTTGCATATAACGGCTTCCTCTTCCCCATTTTTGGGGGAAAAAAAGGAATCTTGTCTTTAGAAATAAAACTCAATCACGAGGGTGCTTTGTATATGGAAACTGCAGATGCACTATCGCCCCTCGGCCGAAAACGCCTAAAAACTGTAAAAAGGAAGTAAACCGTAGGGAGACGAGGACTGCCCTTTGTCACCGGTTTTTTCTCACGATAGGGACCAGGTAGTGACCTTGGGGGATGACCTAGCCACTTGCTACAACTACCCTTATATGCATCCCGTCCCCTTATCACACTCACAAACTCATCTCTCCCGGATACGGGGTTTTTCTCCCTTTAATGGAATTCCTTTCACGTCCGAAAAGTCCGGTACGGATCCGACGTCGGGTTATCACTGGAGAAATTTCTATTCCGAGGGAGCGAGGTAATTAAAAAGCAATTAATGTTACAGTTGTGTGTGGGGGTTGTGCGGCCTTGGTAAAAAATGCGCCCTCCAGGCTGCCCTAACAATGGTCAGGTACACCCCATTCCAAAACCTTAACACACGACCAGTTTTTTATCCACAATTTGAACACTGGGTCACTAGTTTTTATTACAAAACCTGTTATGTTTACACTTACTTTTTGCTTTCTAAAAAAAGTCCCTTACCTCGGCTAACCGGAACTAAGCGATTAGCAGGCAAAAAAAAATCCGCGATGATTTTTTTCTTCTCTGAATCAAAACCGACTCTTCCCGATTGTGCTATTTAAAGCCACCATCATACTGCTAGAAAAAATAGAAAAAAAACCTTTTCGAACCGAATAAAAACAGGTTGAAAAAAAGGACAAGTAATGAATAAAAGAGGCTATTATTATACAAGTTTTGGCCAAGCTATAAATAAAAATGGCTTTCGGCCAAGGAGAAGTTTACTCCGAACTTGAGGCAGACAAGGGGCAAAACCTTGATCCTCACCACACTTTTAATGCGTGTTAATCCACCTTTTGTTGACTCCAGCTTCGATTGATCAAAAATAAGTGAACTCGAAAAAGGTTCCACTGAAATAATAAACTAAATTAGTATGACGTCTTGCCTAATTTTTTATATACATTTTTTGACATTTAGTATATAGTATGTGTATCTGCATTTTGTACCATAAAAAATGGTGAAATGACGAAACGAGTCTGCGCCACCCAAAGTAGCAAAGTTCATCAGATTCACCCCGCAGCCTTCGACAGTAATTTCTTAAAATTAACTCTTTTAACTTCATATGAAGTACTTTTAACTAGCATATCATATATAAATATAGAATAAAAACGTATGCATATTCAGTGATGGTCAGGGGTAAATTTTAGATATGTCGATGTATGGTATTATTTATGGCTTCCGATTATTTTCTATTATGGTCTACCTTTCCCCAAAACAGCAAGGCTAGTTCATCAGGTTCACCCCACAGTCTTCAAGGGTAATTTCTTAAAATTTAACTATTTTATTAATTTCAAGTTTATGAACAGAGGAGAAAAATCTCACGCATAACTTTAGTCAATATATGTTCTACTAAAAACACTCCATGTGCTACGAGATTCTGCTTTTTCATAAACTCTCAGTTAAAAAGTTAAATTTTAAGAAATTATTCTTGAGGACTGCGGGGTAAACCTGATGAACCATCCTAGTTATTTTGGGTTTGGGATTTGGGGTTTCTTCATTTCACAATCTTTATGATTTAAAATTATTAGTAAGTCTGACTACGAGATCAAAATAAGCAGAAACCATATATCGGCGCATTATGTTAAAAATGACCCATGTCCATCACCGAATATGCTTAAGGTTTTAGTCATGAGTGTCCATGTGCAGTCATTTTAACCAGCATAGCACATATAAATATTGATTTAATTATTCAGTGATGATAAGGGTACAAGATTTAGTTATTTAATAATAACTAAGTCATTATGTAATATTTAATTATACTTTTTATTATATAAAGAATTGAAAAAGTAATAATTGAAGAAATTCATTCCTGGAATATAAAACTTTTTCCTATTTTTAACAATAATTTACATATTCCTTTTAGTAATTTGAGTATTTTCATAAATTATAATTTTTCCGTGCGTGTTTAATTATTTAAGTCACTCTTTGTTAAGACATATACCATTTTTCTATAGGAAAAATCCCCGGTCCACTTGTTCTCGCCTTTTCAGCCAATTTTACTTAAATCATTTATATATATGCAGTGATGTCATACATTTTTAACTAGATATGCCGTGTATGCTATTCTTCATTATAGCCAATAGCATTTAAGTTTCCTAGATGAAGGAAGTTTTCTATTGTTTACCATTACCGTGCCCGATTGTCTTCGTCTTCTTCTGGAATTCACTCCGGAATTCGGTTTATCCTAGATTTCTGTAATCCGGAGCCTGAAGACTCTTGGGGGAGGCAGCCCCCTTTTTTTATGAATCTACTTTTTTTTCTCCGTAGCCGTTCACACGGATCGGATTCCTGGGCTCCCACCCCCGTACAGTCGACGTCAAAACTACATCCGACAACCCCTCCTCATTAAGAGCCCGGCACATCTGTATGCTAAGCAGAGCCTATCGATTGGCCCATGTAACACACGGCTCGAGAAAAAGAGCGAACTGGAATGTT